ATTTGAAAAGTATGAAACCTCATTTAGAGAGCCTACTGGAATTGCTCTAATGCAATCATGATAAGATCCAATTAAAACCCACGCTAACCTGCTAAAAATAGCAGTCGTAAATTGATTTCAACAAAACTTTTGAGTGGATTGATAGTTTTTTCTTTTTATCTTTTTTTCACGATATAACGGTTAATATGTTAGTAATTAGATTATAATTAGATATTGTCATCATTAATTTTTAAAAATTACTTACTTATTGATATATCTGTATACTATTATAAAAGTAAAAACATTATGTGGTGATTAAAGTCAAAAGCCTAAATCTAATTTTTTTCATAATTTTGAATTTTTCAAATATAACAATACATCAATCTCGCTACATTTCCTAATTGAGACTCTCCTAATTCTACCCCCAATGACTTAGCTAAGAGAAGTCTCATGCTCCTCCCTCTGTCATCTTTACCTCCCTAATTCCACACCATTAAGGATAAAATTGAGGAGGCTAAATTAAAGGGATCAATCATTTTTTATAATCCATATGTCATGTTATATATTGGTCTTCCTATCTTACTATTATTTCCTTCTAAATTTAAGAAATATATACTCTAAATATGGCAAACTTTTCAAATTTTAAAATTGTCTTCAATTAAGATCCTTTCAAAATGGCAAACTTTTCAAATTTTAAAATTGTCTTCAATTAAGATCCTTTCAAATTGATTATATTTTCTTATTCTTAAATAGAGAAAGGAGAATATCATACAATTTTACTATTTATTTACGATGCAAAGAGATTATTATTATTATTATTATTATATAAATCTGTTATTGCAAATACCTTTTTTTGGTCAAGACTTTTATTTCAAATACACATTTTACAAAATTATAAATTCTTTTCAGTATTTTTTTTGTTTTCAAATTTGCAGCATTCTGCATTGATTATTGGAATATTAATTTTTGACATGACAAGATTGTACCATTAAAATATATTGCGAACAAAAGTAAGTTAGATTTTAAATTTTTGGATTACATTACACTATAGATAACATTTTCTATGTGACGACCGGGTCGATTTTGTTCTCTTCTTCGCTCCGTTTCCCTTTTTTTCCTTCGTTGGGATTGGGACGTCCGGGAGTAGTTCTCAAATTAGATGCTCTTGTTCTTATTGTTCTCATTGTTGAATGTCGGTAGTTCTGATGGGTGCGGAGTCAGGTCTAGAGCGCCTGGGAAGCGAGTTGGAAAATTTTGGACTGCTGGGCCAGGGCCGCACGTGCGGGAGGCCAGGGCCGCACGTGCGGGAGGCCAAGCCGCACGTGCGGGAAGAGGGGATTTCTTTGGGTTGCATTATGCTTAAATTGCACGAGCGGGGTGAGGTGCGGGAGAGGGGCACTGCACGTGCAGGGATGAGGGCCGCACGTGCAGGGGAGGCAAGGCTGCACGTGCGAGGAGGTGCGCCGCACGTGCGGCAGACGGGGCAGTCCGAACCTCTGTTTTTATTCCTCTTTTTGGCCGAGTTGTATCTCATTTTTTGGGCATTCCTCTTACCCTCTAAACCCTAATTTCTCCCTCTTCTCTCTAGAAACTCTTACCAATACACTAAAACTCTTTGATTTCGTCATCCCTTGGATCAAGATTCACCATCATCATCACCTCTCCATCTCAAGCCTTCAAGATCAAAAACTAGGGCTCCTTTGGTGTAGTGGGAATTAAGAGTTTTCCATCTTGAAGTTAGGGTTCCATCTCCATTCTTCATCAAACATTGAGGTAGGGTTTTCTTGAGTCATATATACATGTTTTGCAAGATTTAGTGTTGATTTTGTACTTCTCTTGGATTTATTTTGAGATTTCGTTTTTGGTTCTAAATAATGTGATTTCTCAAAGGAGAGTTTAAAGATTTAAAAGTTTCTATGTTGACCCTTAAGGTCTTGTATCTATTATTTCATAAAGTTGATTTTGATGAACTTTCACCATGAAAATTGGAGATGTTTTGGTTTTGATGCAAAACCCTAGAATTTGGGGATTTTGGAAAAATATGAAGATATTTATGAAATCCCTCATTATATTGTGTCATGAAGATGATTGGGAGTAAATCTCATAACAAGTTTGGCAAAAGTGAAAATCTATTAAACTATGAGAAATGAGAAATTATTATAGCATGTTTGTTAAATTACTTGAATATGTGTTGTTAGAAGGGGATGGATGGTTGTGTACTATGAAATGTTAAGATTGTAAATCATGGAAGATTTATGTTCGAAAAACATCACATGTGGCCTTGAAGAGGCAAATTGGTTTGAATGGTGCATGTTGGAAAATTGTTATTGTGTGTTGAAGGCACATGGATATTTTGTGAAATGGCTTTGAAAAGAAGAAATGAGAGATGGAATTGATCGATATTGTTGTTGAGATATATTGAGAATAGAGAAATGCTACGAAATGGTAACTATTGCATCATGCTTTACATTTTAGTTATTGTCATTATTGTGCATCTTGGCTTATGTTGGAAAACGCTTACTTTGAGAAAGATTATCTTATAATGAGAACCATGATAATGTGAATGGGGTAAATACATGGTAAGTCCGAATAGGGGGTGTAGTTGAACTTGATAAGTTGGCCTGAGTGTCTTTGGTGAAAAACTAGAAAATCGTGTGGATAGGTGTCGAGCCTTTCGGTTAATACCGGTAAAAATGACAATTTGGTAGTACTTGTAGAGTCTACTTGCAGACACCAACCTAGGGATTACCAGTGTCGTATTCACCGCCCCTATTGATATAAAAATTGGAAGTTTTGAAATAAGTTGAGATTGCAAATTTATGGAAATATGGAAATCTTTAAAAGAGCATGAAATGGATTTGTTTTAAAAAGTGCATAGCATGGCATTGACATTTGCATTTCTAATTGGTTTAGCATAACTGTATATACTTTGTAAGAATTCTATATTGGGCTTTATGCTCACCCCTATGGAATTTAGTGCAGGTAAAGATGTGGTGATCCCGCGGAACTGAGGGTGTGGATATTTTTGAGAAGAGTAATTGGCTCTTTTATTTTTGTTGTAATTCTTTTGTAAGCCAAGGGCTAACGTGTATGGGTCCGAGAGACCATTGTGTAACTTGGCTATCGCCTTGGAACTTGTAAGCCCTTGAGGGCCTTATTCGTTTGATTTAATGATTTTACATGCTATAGATTCATGTACTAGCTTGTCAATGAATATATAATCGCATGTGAGATTATTTTTGTAAAACATTTGGAATTATGTAAAGGTGTATGGTGATTATTCTATTTTGGAAGTGGGTGATGTTATAGATATGTTAGTACTATTTTGGGGCGTTACATTCTGTAACCTAAAAATAAATTCTTTTCAGTATTGTTAGCCTATAAACCTCGATAAAACTAAGTTGATCACATTTTTTATTTTTTATTTTTAATGAAACAATGGTTAATTTATTATTATTTTTTGTTATAATTTGATTAAAATGATTATTCATGATACATCAAATTGAATTTACAATGAGAAAGAAATTGACCCACAGTGATGGAATCAAACCTAAACATAAATTTAATCTTATGATACATTATATTCAATCAATCATTTTAAGTATATAAATGTAGTAGGTCTAACTTAGGCAAATATAATGACACAGAAATTTTGTGCTGGCTCAATCAAACTAAGAACATTCATACATTCCTTAATTGCACGGGCCAAAAAAATTGAAAGATAATTTTTTTGATTAAAATGTAAATCATAATTAAACTTATAGCATATTTGATGAATCTAAAATTAAAATACTAGTTTATTATTTTAAAAAAGTAAGTAAATTGATTTCAAAGTAAAAAATTAGGTAAACTTATTCATTAATTCTAAGATTAAATGTAAAAAAAATCACATTGCTTTAAGTATCATTGACATTTCAAGTGAATTATTGCTTTAAGAGATAGTTGTGAACATTATGAAATGTACTAAATTGATAATTCCCCTAATATACATAGACTTCTGCATTTAATGGCCTTAAAAGTTCATATAACCATTAAATATCCTGAAAATATCATTTAGAGCCCAAAGAGAGGGTGAAAAACATTTACCTTAACCATATCACAAAAATTTATACTCCCATATATATTACATGGTAGATTTTGTATGTTAATTTCTATACATTTGATGAGTCCAACAATTTAAAAGGATCTATTAAGTTTTATTACCTAATATACAAAGCATTTTTGTTTATTATAAAGTTTTTAGAATCTCAACCTCAATCATAATTGTTAAACTCAAAATAGATGATTGGAGATTCAATTAAGAACATGCGTAGTTTTGAAAGGAAAAAATATGCTAGATAGACAAAATTGGGTACAAACAAGTGCACAAAGGGTGCACTTGGTAGCTCAGATTCATCACAGATGTGACGTGAGTGAAACTAAAAATAAATCAATAGAGAGATGTTGGTCAGATTCATCACAGATGTGACGTGAGTGAAACTTAAAATAAATCAATACAGAGATGTTGGTCGAGTTGAGAAAACTTTAGTACCCAGAAGAAGATGAAGCAAATGCAAGCAAGTCCTTACAATTTTCAAAGTTTGGGCATGTAATGTAATGTAATGTCATCCTCTCATATTAATCCACACCTGTGTATGCCATCATCACCTAATCTGGTGGCGAGCAAACCAACCAAATTTTTGTAAGGCCGTGTTGTGTAGACAACCACCCTGCTCTCACACATTTTACGTGCACAAGTCCTGAATCTGAGTAGTAGAAATAAACTAGAGGTACAAAATGCCAATGAATTATTTGATCAAGAAAGGATAGTTGCAAATGGCGCAGGTGCTGAGGTGTTAGACACAACATAAGAAATGAAGAATTTGATGAAACAATCTGATGACATATAGCAGCAGCACTCGGGGGAAATAAATATTTAAAAAAAAAAAAAATCAGCTCTCAATAATACCTAAGAATCAAACACATAATTTGGGAGAAGGAAGAAGACCAATAAATGCCATTATTATGACAACAAATCCTCAACTTCACAATTGAGATACAACCATGCCTGTATTTCATCTACTACCAACTTTTCAATGTACACAGCTGCTAAAAGATGTGTAACCTAATATTTTGTGTACTTCCTTGATTTTGCATCAACATGGAATGAATAACTAACTCAAAAACCTAAAATTTTCCCAATTATAAACCCCACACCATAAAAAGAAAAAGTAGCCACTGATATATTTGTGACATTTCCAACTTTGAAGTGTGAAAGGTATGCTGCCATATTAAGGAGTTTCCAACTTCAACAAGCAACACCTACAGCGTGACATGCTTTATTAAAATATCATCTTGTTTGATACCAGTAGTAACAAACAGGAAAAAAGGACACAACTCTTGACAGAAAGAATAAGCAAGCTAGTATGACAGCAAGGAATTTTCTCAACAGAAAGGCTCTCCCCCCCTCCCGCTCCCCTTCCTCTTCCGCTTCCCCTTCCCCTCTAAATGCCATTTTTCTCTCAATATGATACAAGCTTCAATCGACACCTTCCAAATGAGAAGTGGGTACCATTCTCCATTTGACTCAGTTTTCACCTGAGCTGATGGGAGGAACCATGTTTAAAGCCTTCATTATAAAAGCAAAGATGAAGGCATCTTCTTGGAGCTTCTCAAACCTGCACTCAACAAAAAGGTGAGTATTAATTAAAACAAGCATATATGTCAATAAATATCCTGGGATCTTTCCATTAAAAAGGCAAGAGTAAATTTGACACTTCACGCCCTCAATCATGGAGTTCATTGTTAACATACTTGGTAGTGTTAGAAAGAGGCCATTACAAGTGTTGCTTGTGGTTTTGCAGGCAGGGGCTAAGCAAAGCCCCTATCCAAAATAAATAAATAAGTAAAATAAAAATTCTAATCCCTCTTTAACCCTATACCAAAGTTAGTAAAATTCTAAAACACCCCCAAAACCTATCAGGCCATTTCATATTTCCATCATCTGAAACTCCTTCCTGACTACTATTCCCTACCTCTATTTACACCACAAAAAGATCTCACTCCACCCTTCATTTTTTTTTTTTAATTAGAATTTCGTCCATATCCAAAATTACCATTAAGACTTAAACCCTAAAAATTGAAAACACAAATTACTCACCCCATCCATCCCTTCCCCACCACCTCCACCAATCCCTCACCTCTGCCACTGCCGCCTCTCCTCCACCCATGCCTCACTTCT